AACACGATATTTATATTTTTATGAATCTGCTGCATACACTGGTAAGATGTGACACACAGTGCGTAAGCCATGCTTGTCGACCCGAGAAGAATTATAACAAGGCTTATTATACCTCCATGTCAGAAAGTTGAGATCTGATTGGTTCGCGTGATAATGATAAAATACGATGAAAAAAATAATTTCCCCCGCCACGGAGAAAACAGGCTGCACGTATTTTTTTTCGCGGGAGAATATATCCCTTATACCCCTCTTCGAAGCAAACATCCGTACGCTTTTTTCTCACACACACACACACACACACACACACACACACACACACACACACACACACACACACACACACACACACACACACACACACACACACACACACACACGTGCTTTGGATGTTAAAATTCATAAGCATAAACTGTAATGTCATGGTGTTCACACGTGTGGGGGGTGGGGGGAGGGGGGTTATAGGGTAACGATATATAGACGCTGACCCGAGTGTTTTTGACATCATATACTAGTATATCAACACGAAGAGTCAATAGCAATTGAAAACTTGAAGACGATTATATTTATCGTCCAAAGCCATACTTTCAACTTTTTGAGTTTCTAATACCAGTGTGTAAAAAGTACAGCTAACCGGGCATCAGTGGCAGGGATATTAGTGATGTCATTTTATTTTGACGTCATGGTAATTCATGACAAAGTGGTCTTCAAAGCATTGTCATGCAATTTCATTATAAAGATATCTCCTAGAAAATATCGCTTGATTTCACCCAAGCGGTATCTAATGCTGAAGCCAGTTTTGGATGTTAAAATTCATAACGACACACTGTCATGTCTTGATGTTCACACTGTCGACCACTGGTTTTCTTGTTACAGGTTCGAACACACTGAACAGGTCGACTACATCTGAAGCAAGTGCGTTTCCTCCTTCGCTAAATGCATCACGTTCTACACACGCTGGTGACACGGAGAATAACCTTGAAAATAGAAATGGGGTTAATCTTTTTCCTAATAACCCTCTTGTTTATTTCTTTGTGTAAACAATCTGCATCAGATGCATGCGTCACCCTTCCTCGCCCCTGTTGTTAATTTGCACATTAGCCCCTGGGGTTATATTACACCCAAAATAAGACTTTGAAGTTGTCTACAAATCCAAAACGCCCAAGTCCAACATTTCCTGCAAACGCCCAGAAGGACCACATAAACATTCGTCGTTTATTTAACATCCATTTAATGCCTTGGCGCTGAAACAAGAACCATATATTGTGAAACGTTACCTATTGCGTAAATAGCAGAATAGACCTGACGCTCGACTACTGCAAAATGAACACACGTGTATATCTAGTCGTGTGTCTAAGATATACACAGATGTGGATATAGGCGGTCCACTTCAGTTGGCACCGCCTCAGTTGTCTAGTGGTAGAGCGTCCGCCCGGAAAGCGCGAGCTCTGAGTTCGATACCCGGGCGCGTCATACAAAAAGATATTAAAAGATGGTACTTGTTGTTACCCTGCCTGGCGTTCTACCCGTGAAGATCCAGGGTAGAATAAGTCTCCAGCAACCCAGGCTTGTCGTAAGAGGCGACTATGCTTGTCGTAAGAGGCGACTAACGGGATCGGGTGGTCAGGCTCGCTGACTTGGTTGAAGCATGTCATCGATCCAATTGCGTGGATCGATGTTCATGATGTCAATCACTGGATTATCTGGTCCAGGCTCGATTACTTACAGACCGCCGTCAGAGAGCTGGAATACTGCTGAGTGCGGCGTAAAACAACAAACCAACCAACCTCACCTCACTTCAGTGACCTTCGAGTGTCTCGGTTCTCAACAGGGTTCTTATTTACAGCATGTCACACATTCAAGCGTGTATAGGTGGGTATTGTTGCCAAAACGTCGTCTCTGAGTTGTTAATTATCTGACGTTTCGCTTCAAAAGGGGAATGGTGTTCGTATGTAGGTGTTGACAAAGGTGCCCTCTTCACCCCTCTACCCTGTGGGAAGTATCTATCAGTGCCAAGCATAACATGGACGTGCAAAACGCGTGTCGGGGACTGACGGTCATTCATCGGTCCGTTTATATACATTGTGTACATTTCCACCTGCTCATTGTGATGTCACAGTCTGGACACAGGGGAAATGACCCCTCAGGTGACCGTCACGTGACACATGGTGAGGCAGGGTGGTCCTGTCTTGTCAGACAGGATACAGGGGGTATCACACTGACACATATGTTCCACAGGGTATTCAATCAGATCGGACGAATTACATTCATGCACAATACAGTAACTCAACTATGCTTCATCAGTAAATTACATGCCACTCAAAATAAGGATCATTTTATTTATGTGGGAGCGTCACATGTTACCTTGCCTTTGACGGCGACGCCAGTTTCACCGGTCGATACAGTGACAGATAGACCTTCACCTTCTATACAGGTCTAGCGATATTTCCACGAGTTTCGTCGGTAAATGTCGACGTCTAACAATTCAACGATTCATCTGTTACATGCCTGGGGCAAACGTTTCGTTTTGTTAACAATGAGTGAGTCAATTTACACCGCTTTAAGCAAAATTCTAGCTACATCACGTAGGATAGTACCAAGAAAGGGCTTTACACATTGTATCTATGTAGGGAATCGAACCCGGGCCTACAGCTTGACACATCAAGTAAGCTTCCAGAACTACCTTCGTGTTGGTTCCAGGTATGCTTTCGTTAAGAAGCCAAGAATAAAAGCATGAACGTACACCTCACTATTTCCATTCAGTCAGTATTAAACCTAGTCATAGTTCTTTGCATATTATCTATTCTAAGATCCGGGGTAAAATAGGTCGTCAGCAACCCATGCTTGCCATAAAAGGCGACTATGCTTGTCGTAAGAGGCGACTAACGGGATCGGGTGGTCAGGCTCGCTGACTTGGTTGATGCATGTCATCGTGCCCCAATTGTGTGGATCGATGTTCATGATGTCAATCACTGGATTGTCTGGTCCAGACTCGATTATTTATAGACCGCCGTCATATAACTGGAATATTGCTGAGTGCGGTGTTAAACAACAAACAAACAAACGATGAAGAAATATATAATTAAGCACCTGTATTATGCCGTGCAAGAGCTCCAGGCCAGTAGACCTGCCAGACGGTATGATCTGAGTAGATCGAATCCAGTTTATTCCACTCTCTGAACAGAACAATATGACAAACGGACGTGGTAAACAGGGACGATGGGGTAGTCTTGTGGTTAAACCGTTCGCTCGTCACGCCGAAGGCCCGGGTTCGAAGCCCATTTCCTGTTATATTGTTGGAATATTGCTTGAGAAAAAGGCTTAAGAAACGGCTTAAAACATTGCTGACTGAAACTGTGTACGTCACTCTGGCATCTGCTGTGGCCGGGATTGTCAAGGGTGGCATATGATAGAGGAGATGCACTTTAGTTGAACACACATCCCTCTCTTCTACTCTCGTTTCATTGCGGTCAAACCCAAGATCTCTTTCACAAGCTCGTCTCACGAGAAGAATAGCTACGGTTAATATTCAATTCAAGCAATACATATTTTGGTTTCCTATATTTTCGATATCTAGATTAATATACTTGAGTTCAATGTTATCTACAAACTAGCTGCATCAAGAATTGTAAATCGTATTACAAATGTTATAAGTACAACGATAAATGGGGATCAAGAAGGTTTTATAAAGGAATGAATATAAGTGAAAATATAAGACATGATATAATGATATACAACTGTGCATTTTTATAATTGATTTCGAATAGGCCTTTGATACTATTTCTTGGAAATTCCTTCAATTTTTTTGCATGTCTTTAATTTTTGACCATCTATTTGTCATTTGATAAAAACACCCTATAACAATATTCAATCCACTATTTTACAATGCGGATATATCTCAACATTTTTCCAATAGAAAGAGTGTGTAGACAAGGCGAACCTTTTCCCCCATATTTATTGATTATATGTACAGAAATCTTAGCGGTTATGGGTCGGGAGAATAAAGACCTAAAAGTTATTACTATTGGTAACGTTCAATATTTAATAAATCAATATGCAGATGAAACCTCATTATTCCTAGATGACACAGAAGAAAGTTCCAGGGTTTGCATTGAAATAATTCGTGTGTACGGTAACATGTCCGGATTAGTTATTTGGATTGGCGCGAAAAAGCAGTGCTATATGCATACATTAATTTGGACTGGTCTCAGGGGTCTTTCAGGCTTTTTTGGAATTACTTTCAACACATACTTCGGGGAAAGGATACAGGGTAATAATGAAGACAAACTCAAGACAATACAGTGTATTATCAGAAAGCGGTGAAGCCAAACATTGCAGTCCTAGGTAAAGTCATAGTCTGAAAACTTTGTTCCCTGTCAATACTGAATCAATTATTTACAACGCTACCAATTCCAACACAATCTATTTTAAACAAAATGAAAAGATATTTTTGAGTGTTTCTGTAGCAAAGGTGTTGCCAGAATAAAATGAGACAGTTCAAATTGTTAAAAGCTATGATACAGGAGGTCTAAAAATGTTAGATGTAGAATCCAAACAATTTCTGCCAATTATTAAGTTGATATTTTTCTAACGAGCTATTTCTACAATATGAAAATATCACTTTTATGTTAAAGGACCTAAATTTTAACCTACCAATTTGGGAATATGGATCTGAGAAAATACGCTGGTTTGTAACTAATAGGACAAATAAGTTTGAGGCAGATGTGCTCTTAGCATCGGCAAAATCTAGTAATTGTATACGTTATAATGACCAGCTTGATATAGTAACACAAAGTTTATCGTACAAGAATTAAATAATAAAGACTGGACACAAAACTTTGTTTAATAAATATTTGTATTCTGAAGGTATAAGACATATTAATGAAAGAGCAAGGCAAATATTTATCATTTATTGACAAAAGGAAGAGAAATATAGAATACTGCTAAACTTTGTACAATACAATGGCATGTTAAGATGTGTAAACAATATATGTGCCTGCGTAATGACAGAACACCAGGAGAGGTAACGGGTCCACTGAAAACATAATGTTTGATCTCGTTGACTGAATATGAAAACGGCTGTAACGTGTTATGAGAATTCACTGAAAATAAATATAGCAAGGCAAAATGTGAAGAGAAATGTGATGACGTATTAGGAACACATTTTACCACTAAGATTGGAATGAGATACATTTGCTTCCATTTAAATGTACATTTTTTATTTACTAAATTACGATGATTTCAGTTTATACAACAAAGAATTACAGCAACAAATATATATTTGAAAATGGTAAAACAAAAAACTGATGATTCGTGTGAATTTTGTCACTGTTCCATTGAAACAATACGACATCTTTTTCATCACTGTCATATAATACGTATTTTTTGGACATAATGTCTAAGCTACATCTGTTATAAAACGTCTTATATAATTAGCAGTATTACAGAACGTTTTATACGTCTTGGGAGTACCGTTACTATAGACCGTTGCAGACACGAATAGTTACAGTACCCCGTGATATATCGGAAGCAAGTCTCGCTTCAGGCAGCTCCGTTTGTTTGTTTGTTTGTTGTTTAACACCGCACTCAGCAATATTCCAGCTATATAACGGCGGTCAGTAAATAATCGAGTCTGGACCAGACAATCCAGTGATTGACATCATGAGCATCTATCCACGCAATTGGGATACAATGACATGCATCAACCAAGTCAGCGAACCTGACCACCCAATCCCCTTGGTCGCCTCTTACGACAAGCATGGGTTGCTGAAGACCTATTCTACCGAGGATCTTCACGGGTGTCCGGCTCTGGTTTTAGTACTACTATACGCCCGCGCTCATAACGGTTGACCGATCAGCTGATGAAATGATGTCAACAATGCGCGGGATAGTTTCAATAAATGCTAGCTATACTAGTTACTAGAATATATTCCCAGTTTCAATACACTAATGATGTCAGATTATCCCTTAACAGCAGAAAAAAAAACAAAAATCTATTCAAAATAATTTGAACTATATTTTTAAACATTATTATCAAATGAACCCGAGAAGGATGTTAATTCGGAAGTTGGCAAATTTGACCACTGTTCATCGTATAACGACTGTATGCATGTGTACACGCCTGATAACCGCAGTGGGATTCTCAAACTGTATCATCATTTGAATCATAGTCTGTCATACAGACCCTGAAACAAATACATGTATATCAAATACAGCCCATGCAAGTCCATAATATTTTGTCAAGTGCAGATTACTGCAGTAATCAAGTAAGTCTCTTGGCTCCTATTTATTATATTTTATTAAGATATTTTAACAACTGTTTTTTTCTGTAAAATATGTTCATTCAGGGACTAGGTTTTTAGTCTGTTGGAATAACTATGTCCGAAGCCTTCTGTTTTAAGGTCGTTCAGCAGTAATGTCTAAAGTACTAAATGCCTTCTGAACATATTTATTTAATCGTGGGTATCTCACGCTTACTGTAATTCTTGAAATTAACAGGCGCGTGAATTATATGCGAAAAATGCGAGTGGTCTATAACCTTCAAATTGTCCGCCGTGTCAACTTCGCATTTCAGTTTTGTTTTTGAAACATCCCCTTGTACACCCGAGCAGCACCCAGCAACCAGCTCCCAGCTCCCAGCACCCAGCACCCAGCTCCCAGCTCCCAGCTCCCAGCACCCAGCTCCCAGCTCCCCGCAACCAGCACCCAGCTCCCAGCTCCCAGCTCCCAGCACCCAGAACCCAGCGCCCAACAACCAGTTCCCAGCACCCAGCACCCAGCTCCCAGCACCCAGAACCCAGCACCCAGAACCCAGCGCCCAACAACTAGCTCCCAGCTCCCAGCTCCCAGCACCCAGCTCCCAGCACCCAGCACCCAGCTCCCAGCACCCAGCTCCCAGCACCCAGCTCCCAGCACCCAGCACCCAGCTCCCAGCACTCAGCTCCCAGCACCCAGCTCCCAGCTCCCAGCACCCAGCTCCCAGCACCCAGAACCCAGCGCCCAACAACCAGCTCCAAGCACCCAGCACCCAGCACCCAGCACCCAGCACCCAGCTCCCAGCACCCAGCTCCCAGCTCCCAGCTCCCAGCAGCCAGAACCCTGCGCCCAACAACCAGCTCCAAGCACCCAGCACCCAGCACCCAGCTCCCAGCACCCAGCTCCCAGCACCCAGAACCCAGCGCCCAACAACCAGCTCCAAGCACCCAGCACCCAGCACCCAGCACCCAGCACCCAGCTCCCAGCACCCAGCATCCAGCGCCCAACAACCAGCTCCCAGCACCAGCACCCAGCACCCAGCACCCAACACCCAACACCCAGCTCCCACGGATGAACGTATACTAAGTCCGAGGCCAAATGCTAGAAAAGTGCAGGAGCAGTAAAAGTGTTACCCAGTAATTAGCATGCCACCTCACACCCTCCAGAAACTCCTCTCAGTATTGAACTAGCCACAGAATGTATCAGGCTAATATATAAATAAACAAGGTTTTCCCCATTGATTGACCCACAGAGCCCCCATGACTCAGACACAGAATCTCACGCAGAAGATGAGGATGTAGTTTAATAAGTATCCTGATTCACAGAGTAGTTTAACAGGTAACTGACATCAAACAATAACAGACAGGAAAGAAAACTTTTTTAATATCTTGAGATACAAGTGTACACTTGACTTGCCTTTGCATGCGTTTGTGACGGCTGCAACCGGCTGACCTTTTCGCGAACAGCTGGTATCATCACTGTTTGACAGTGATTCATAAACCCATGCTTATGATATTGTGAATCATACAATCGACTCTATTGAGATTTCTATTGAATATGGAAAATTATCATAAAATAACAAAGTGATATTTTGGATGGAACATAGAAACATATAGCAACTTGTGGGATATAGTTGATGAATAATACTTTAGGTTTTATCACTGTCATTATTTTTCTGGCAACAGAATTATTTCTGATTGGTAAAAAGCCAATTGCTTTCACGGTCTGGAACACGCTAATAACTTTGTCCTTTCCTGTAATGTTTCCTCCAAATAAAGAAAGGAATTATTTCAGCTATTCGACAGATTGCAATGAACCACTTCCGCCACTGCATGGTAACAGTTGTACTTCCTTCTTGAAACTTCCTTTTTCCCTACATGCAAAACAGCAAAAGTTCCACCCAATAATGGAATATCGAAAGTCAGTACTTAGATATGTTTATCAAATTTCATCATAAGCTATTTCAACATATGTGTCCGTTATACCGCTATACCTTTACCCCGTTAAAAGACCCACTACAGTCTCCCATTTCCTGCAATAACAGTGCACCATCCACCACGCCTTTATCCGTCAGTATCTTTGTCATAACAACCACTCCTGCCTCTCTCCACTGACAGATCCGTCTGGCAACAGACACTGATTACAATCAACAGTTACGCCACTGATTCCATCATGTGTCCACACACACGACGACACCCTACACCATGGGCGTGTGAGGCGGGGAGGTTCGAATCCCTGTATAAACGCTTCTGTTACAAATGTCACTCTATCGCCGCCATTAGATGAAAGATTGGTGATACGGCCTAGGGGATAGTCTCTCAGAAGGGATCAAGCTTTCGTCCATCTGTGTGATGATTAGACGAAGAAAATACACATGCGCTTGGTTACCCCAGGCGCTTTTCTAACAATAAATAAGCAATGAGCACAAAGCTCAGATTGTCCCTAAAGTGAGTGAGTGTTGTAGTATGCCGCAGTTAGCAATTTTCCTGCTCTGTCACGGCGGCTTGTCGCTTGTCCGGTTTTTTTATCACACAGACTAGTGGTTGATAACATGATCAACGATCCATGACACGTTGCGATGACACACGAGGCTAGATCACACATTTTATAACCCCGATTCTCATTTTGGTACGCTATTACAAGACAAACCAGTGACAAAAGCACGTTGACAGTCTTCTATAAGTCACCGAGTCAGACCGCTATATCCTCGTTTGTCAGCTTTCACGACAGACATGGACTACTCGGGACCAGTTCATACCCACATCCACACAGACAGACAAGCATGTGGTACATGGGACCAGTTCATACCCACATCCACACAGACAGACCAGCATGTGGTACACGTGACCAGTTCATACCCACATCCACACAGACAGACAAGCATGGGGTACACGGGACCAGTTCATACCCACATCCACACAGGCAGACAAGCATGAGGTACACGGGACCAGTTCATACCCACATCCACACAGACAGACAAGCATGAGGTACTCGGGACCAGTTCATACCCACATCCACACAGACAGACAAGCATGGGGTACACGGGACCAGTTCATACCCACATCCACACAGGCAGACAAGCATTGGGTACACGGGACCAGTTCATACCCACATCCACACAGACAGACAAGCATGGGGTACACGGGACCAGTTCATACCCACATCCACACAGACAGACAAGCATGAGGTACTCGGGACTTTAAGTTCTCGCCCATGGTGCCCCACACTGGAGTCACACGTGATCCACACAGGCTAGGCCTGTGGAAAGCATAAGACATCCAACCACCAGGACAGTCAGCACCAAACGTGACTAAGCATACCTTTACAACACAAAATGATACAGATGCGGCGAGACAGACGATGATGCATAGCACCCAGCACGCCACAGTGTAAACAACATATTTCATCTTGGAAATTAAAAGCATTTTTGACTGAAAATGTGTGTCAAAGAAGTCGAAGAATTATCCTTATGCTTCATGTGTTTATAACATATATCCTTTTGTTGCCTTGACGTGTATTTGAGAGGCTATGGTGTGAGGTGTGCCAGGTGTTTAACTGATTATGTACGGCCTGTGTGACTGCTGTACAACAGTTCGATGTTGGGCGGGCCTTTTCACTGACAGCTTCCACACATATCAATACGCCATCATGGTTACTGGAGCTTGGGGATGTCTGAATGGTGAAAACCTCCTGGTGGGTGTTCCGCGAGACGTGTGACAGTCACGTCAGGTGTCACGTCATGAATCAAAATGTCATTTGGCCCCGTGCTCTAATGTGTAGATTGCACATGGCTACATACAGGTGAATATGATAATATACTCTTGTTAATAAATGCGTGTACAGGTGTAAATTTGTGTACCTTGTTTATAACGTGTGTGTGTAGTGTGTGTGTGTGCGTGCGTGTAGTGTGTGTGTGCGTGTGTGTGTGTGTGTGTGTGTGTGTGTGTGTGTAGTGTGTGTGTGCGTGCGTGCGTGTGTGTGTGTGTAGTGTGTGTGTGTAAATATGTCTACCTTAATGAATTAATGAAAACTGTGTACAAGTCTCACTGTGTCAATCTTGTTACCATCTGGGTACAGAGATGAAAATGTTTCAACCTATAAATTGGCATACACAGTCAAATCCTACCAAGCTTGACAGAGCCAGTGACAAATAAAACACCTCTTGCTGTCCAAGAGGCGGCGTTCCGGCCTGATCTTGTGTAGAGAGTCCTCAGCGACCTGAGTGCCACACTGGGGACATTCAAGATTGAAGGCGGTCGTAGATGCCACGCGCCGTCAGAAGAGGGGATGGGGCCACTTGACGCTCACGCGCTGCTGGGGTCAGCAAGGACGCAGGATGCCCGACACTGGCCACCGGAACTGGATGTAAAGCACATGGGAAATATGAGGGAGAACTAAAGATATCAAATTTAATTGCCAACATGCACAATTTATCCTTTTGGTATTGCAGAAATACCGAAGATGTACACATGGTTGGAAGCAGTGGTTGTCGCGACCCGGTGAAGAACCTAGCCACGAGCATGTCGATTGAGACAAAACTTCGGTTCATATGGCTGTTTGGAAACTTAGTGCTAAAAATCGACTGTAGACTAACATTTAGTCCATAAAGTCTTAAATTACACAATACCCTTTACGACTCTAAAATTAAACAAATATTTTTTTCCGATGCTGATTTCATAGGGAATAGAGCTAGCTAGAGCTGGCTAGCCTTGCTTTTCTATACATATCTAGATTGTGTTTTTTTTCTCCATAAAAATAAATATATTCCACAGCCACAGTGCAGACTAGATCAACTGGCGACGGGGGAAACATGCATACGATTGGAGGTGAATACTGCCTTACCTGTATCTATAATAAACTTGATATGGAGAGGTAGATTTCTTCTCAACATTTTGTGTAATGAGTGAGACAAATTCAATTGCAACATGACTACATGATCTACGATCTTGGCTTACACTTTCTACAACTACATGGTCTAGGATTGCGATTCTACGACTACTATCTACGACAAAATGATCCAGGGTTACATATCTACGATTACATGATCATGCTGAAGATCAACTGATGATAGAAAACATGCAGCAGATTGAAGTATTAAAGTAAATACCGATTTAAATATAATCAAATGCTGGGAAGTAGACTCGCACCAAATGATGTAGGATTACATATCTACGAATACATGATCTGCAATTACTCTATGACTGCATGATCTATGTTTACACATCTACGAAACGAGATACAACTACGCAATCTACGAACAATAAAACCATCTTGAATACGGAGCACATAGCTGTTCCATATTTCATCTAGTCTTTATAAACTGTCAACGACACCTGTGATACACGGGGAAATTCTTGATAAGTTTGGTCTGTATCATGGTTTGACAAAAGCACCTCTGACCAACAGATGTCTGGGAATGGAAGCATGGGACGAGTCCACTGCTGCAGAGGGGGTGTTCGCACTGTTCCAGATGGGAGCTGGGAGCTGGGAGGACGGTGCCGCATCAACACGTGGCCGATGGGTGCAGGGAGAGGCAGGGACACACACACTGCCGGAGCGTCTGGGAGTCGGGTCTGCGGAACACAGCACGCATACCACAGAACACATACCGTACAGATACTATAGACGTCTGTGCACTACCGACTGACAGTGGTCGTAGATCACCTGCACCAGCATAGTCGACACTGAATCGTGACATGAGACTTCTGGACGCAGCGTTAAGAGAAGTGCATCCAGGGATGTTTAAGATGCACCCGTGTACATAGTGATCGCGTAGTGCTCCAACACCCTGTAATATGACAATCACAGATCTCAGAATGATGGTGGACTGTCATCTGTGTTATGTTGGGAACGATATTCGCTGACCAGAGGAGGATGCTGCACGTGCCACGTGGACAGTGGTCATGCACGTGCATGCTGGCCCTAGTGGTCGTCTGGGCAGTACGTGGCGTCATGGGAACGGCTTGTCAACAGTGTGACTGCATGGTCAAGTAAGTAGAGCATTATGTTTATAAAGATATTCCCCACCCACACAGAACAAAGACCATATAACGTGTACACGTGTATTTACCAGTTGTCGCGTTGTTTAATGAATACGCTTCTAAACTACGATGCAAATATCACATGCAAAGCGTGTGTTATCAAAAACCTGTGCAATGTTGATCTTGACGTCGTATCTCATCTCCCTAGAACCATATAACCAGTCGCAACGTGCTCTGCCGTTGTTTATCTGAGAGACGCGACCTTGACTCTGATATCAGTCAAAAACAATGTTTGATGCGGAAAGTTTTCTATATAGTTCTAGCCATATTGAATTGATTATATTATTATGGAATTCATGTATAATCATTCATATGAGAACTATAGATTCGATTCCTATCCTGTTAACCTTCTTGCCCAATTTTCACTTGATATTAACAGTGGCTTTAAATCCTCGCCTCCCAACAACATCCCGTGTTGACGTCGACGCTCCCAGGCCCATGTCTCAAATCTCTGCTGACTGGAACTTGGCCTTCTCATTGGAGGAGCGCGGACGTGACTGTCGCAGACTCTGGTGGGAGAGTATAGATTGCGGTGCAAGCAGCACGCTGCACTTACTAAAAACATCGTTTTTTTTCTGTATGACGAGAAGGCAATGAGCTCAATGTGTTGTGAGAGCGAGCTCCGTCTCGGGAACCTGATCTGCCAAACGACGGGGATTCAGACAGTGTTATTGTCGCTGGGTGCAAATTTAGGAGAATTGTGCCAGTGGGCCGTTCTGTTTTATAGTGGTATCACAGACGGCCGTAAGCTTGATGCAGAGGATGGTTTATGCAGCAACACTCTCTCGCAGACGCCGTTATGGAAGCTGAAGCCATCCCTGATGCTTCATCAGGTCTCACATAGACCATCCTTGACTACTCGCCCAATTATCTTGACTCATTCCTGAAGAACGCCCAAGTAGTTTCTACCTTATCAAACAGGAACATCGCATCGGCAATATCTCAGTTTTTATGCGATTGTTCTATCTGGCGCACGAACGATTTGTACAGACATTGGACTAAATCATTTGTACTGTTTGGTATTGATACGTAGGCCCTATCATATGACACAAGACGGTTTGGAAGACAGAATCATATATATATATATAATATTTGTTTCCTATTTGCCAGGGATCCTGACAACAATCATGGCGGAATTACCAACATTGTTGCCGCCTGTGAAGAGGGCAAGGTCACGTGGTTCACAACTAACGGCTCCCTTCGGATCACCTTGAATCCAACGAAGTCAGGTCTATTCCGGATCTGCTTTCGTGTTGAAAGTGGTGCCTTTAAAACTGTCGTGTCTCAGGAGATCATAGCAACAACGCTACAGAACTACAGGCTTAAAACAACGACTAAAAAGGACATCAAGTTATCTCCCCTCCTAACCACCAGTGGCCAGAGCAAGGTGAACTGTATTTCGGGTTCCGGTCCAAAGCGATTATATGTAGAGACTGAGAGTGCTGAGGAGGTCTTGACCGTGGCAAAGGTCAAGGTTGAATATGACGTTGAGAAGATCGCCAGTGGGTTAAGTCAAAGTCCATACGAAGGTGGGATTTATACGATAAAGTGCTCATTTGCTTAACGTAACAACTAGCCTCTCTAAGCTGACGAATTACTAAATCTCTTGTCAATTTGCGATCGTCATTAATAGTACACTGCCTTCTTGGAATGGTTCTGGTGTTAAGTTTTCAGTGCAGAGCTGTTTATCTAGCTGAATAGTTGTAGGTTCGAATCCCAAATTTGACGAAATTATGAGCAGACACGCCAATATATAGAGGAAATATTGTTCAAAGTGGTGATTTAACTCTACTCACTACTTTAGTGAAGCATAGATTTGACATTCTTCCTAACGACTAGTCCGGAGTAGTACAAGCAGCCACACACGCACGCATGCACGCACACACACAGTGCAATAATCTTGGACGCGACGTTAAACCCGACCACACCTCACCCCCTAACGACTAGGCAGTGCAGAGGCCTTGATTTAAAGGAATGCAGGTGCAGTTCTAGAATATAGGGTTAATTTTATGACAATCATTTCAATGTTTAAAAAATGCCATTTCTATTAAAACATGCGCCATCAGACTCGCGTCAGGACTGACAAAGGTTCGGATCTACATACATACACAGGTAGATGTACACACGAGAGTTCATGAGAGTGCTCTCATTGTGTACTCCTCCGTCTATACAGGGCCAGACAATAACGCTATATGCCTACCTGCAGACCTCGCTGTCACCCAGACGCCAGGCAATACCTGCCACGTCTCTATGTACATTAATAAGTATCTGCACGTGCAGGAGACCATGTGTCAGACAATAGGTCTGTCGCAGGCTGTATTGAGGTCGGCTGTGGTGCGAGTCATTAGCCATGGCAGGGATTTCATTCTGGCGTATTCAGTTTCTACTGTATAGTGACTTTATTAAGTCTTTAGAAGCGGTGTTCGATCACTGGGTTGATCCCTTGATGAGGTGAAACTGGTCCCCATTTTACAGAACATGGTTCAGTGAGCAGTTGCGCAATATCTCAGGTTTACTGGTACAGTGCACTCGAACCATTCAAAGATACTCTCCGGCAAACACTGCGTGTCATTATTCTGTTCATGATTGTTTTCTTAAATGCCTTAATGACTGCCTTTCACATATTCCCTATACTGATATTGCTGTGATAAGTTACCCTCAAGTATCATCTTAGCAAGAAATATTGTTGTTAATTACCTATCTACGTTTTGTGTTAATACCCCACCGACAAATATTGCTGTTTTTTCCAAACTACAAATATTGCTGTTTTTCCAACCTACAAATATTGCTGTTTATAACCATTTACAAGTAATGTTGTTAAGACCGCACTTACAAATGGTGTTGTTAATACCCTACCCACACATATTGCTGTTATACCCTACATACGCATATTGCTGTTATGACCTACCTGCACATATTGCTGTTATTTACCCTACCTACACATATTGCTGTTATACCCTACCTACGCATATTGCTGTTATACCCTACCTACATATATTGCTGCTATACCCTACCTACACGTATTGCTGCTATACCCTGCCTACACATATTGCTGTTATACCCTACCTACGCATATTGCGGTTGTGACTTACCTGCACATATTGCTGTTATTTACCCTACTTACACATATTGTTGTTATGAACTACCTACGCGTATTGCTGTTATTTACCCTACTTACACATATTGTTGTTATGACCTACCTAAACGTATTGCTGTTGTGACCTACCTGCACATATTGCTGTTATTTACCCTACTTACACATATTGTTGTTATGACCTACCTATGCGTATTGCTGTTATTTACCCTACTTACACATATTGTTGTTATGACCTACCTAAACGTATTGCTGTTATACCCTACCTACACATATTGCTGTTATACCCTACATACACGTATTGCTGATATACCCTACCTACACATATTGCTGTTATTTACCCTACCTACACATATTGCTGTTATACCCTACCTGCACATATTGCTGTTATGACCTACCTACACATATTGCTGTTATGACCTACCTACACATATTGCTGTTATGACCTACCTACACATATTGTTTTGCTGCTATACCCTACCTACACGTATTGCTGCTATACCCTACCTACACCTATTGCTGTTATGACCTACCTACACATATTGCTGATATACCCTACCTACACATATTGCTGTTATGACCTACCTACACATATTGCTGTTATACCCTACCTACACATATTGCTGTCATGCACTACCTACACGTATTGCTGTTATACCCTACCTACACATATTGTTGTTATAACCTACCTACACATATTGCTGTTATGACCTACCTGCACATATTGCTATTATTTACCCTACCTACACAGATTGCTGTCATGCACTACCTACACGTATTGCTGTTATACCCTACCTACACATATTGTTGTTATAACCTACCTACACATATTGCTGTTATGACCTACCTGCACATATTGCTATTATTTACCCTACCTACACAGATTGCTGTTATACCCTACCTACACATATTGCTGTTATACCCTACCTACACATACTAGTTTTGTTGTTATACCCTACCTACACATACTAGTATTGCTGTTACACCCTACCTACACATACTAGTATTGCTGTTATCCTCCACCTGCGCGTATTGATGTTATACCCTACATTCATGAGGCTGCAATGTCTTATTAACACAGCTACATTCATTCATAATAGCTGAAACTCATATCTGCCGTTAGCAAATAAGCTGAATAATAACTTTTATATCTACATATATGCGTTGCATGACAATATTTATCACCCGCAGGGTTAGTAATAACCTCCTTCATAAAAATCATATGTGCACCAGTGCAAGTGTCACTTCTCGCGCACCAGTGCATTGTTTCCATCATCTGGATGGCATAGTTGACGTCAAAGGAATCTCATTGTGACGTAAGGACGGAATGACGTCACTAGAAGCGACATCATAGCTGAAGATTGTTCATGTCATTCGACAAATTGTCGTTTTGTAGGACGGCGGTGGGGATCAGTGCATTTTTAAGTAAAGTGGCGCCTAAAAAGATTAAGGAATAATGGGTAATAAAGAAATTATTATACTCACATGTCTTCCATACTGATTTACAAAACTCAAGTAAGATATCATTTATTACCTTCGCTTTCGCTCGGGAAATACAAGAATTCTGACACTCGTTTCGTAAAACCGGTATGGCACACATGCTCGTATTATAACCTCTATATATGTTTCCTCTATATATGTACAGATTGTGTAATTGTTTCAGTGTGTCGGCCGTGCACAGAGCAGGAGCTGCTGAGGTCTGTCTGTTCCAGCCACTTCGGTAAGGCTCGAACCTTTCTCCGTCAGATATACTGTCACACACAGTGACGGCTCTGTAACGACATTCATAACACACCTGCCAGGAGACTATCACGTTGTAGTCAATTAACGAACTACAACCTTTATTTTAGTTACTACTTAATCATATTTGTTTAAAAAAATTTAAAATACAAAGGCTCCTTGGCCGGCACCGCGATTCGCTGTGTAGAGTTGCGTCTCTTGGACACGCCAGAAACCTATGATCGTGGGTTCGAATCCCGGTTCGTCGCGATTATGTTTCCAGATTTGTCAGCACAATACCCATGCTCGTGGGTTTCCACTGAAGAGGTAACCGTCCGAGACCGGCATCGCTTCGGGCTTTCCTCCCACATTTTCCTAACACGCCGTGATATAACTAGAATATAGTTCATGGTAAATGGTTATGCTTATCAAAAATGCGCGAAAACAAGATGAAAAACTTGGCTTATGGGCTACAAATTCTAAGGAAATTTACAATGTACATCAAGGTCTTTACAAGAAAATGGTATCTGATTATACTTATAACATAAATATAAATAACAGATACAGAAGTACACAATTTGGGCTTTTACTAAGGTCTCAGCTGGAACATGAGAAAAACGGTTCTGGCAACAAAACTTGAGAATTCAATTTGTTGAGTCCGGGAAAAGGATGGTTTACGGTCAGTCCGACCTTGGTCGTCCACTTCTATCAATGCAATCAGGCTGCTCATGGTGTCTGCTTACAGTGGATGCGGGATCAGGAAGAGTTCCTCATCTGTGGACTATATGTGGTTTGTCGATACGCATGACAGAAACGGCCGAAACTCACTTCTATTGATTTATGCAATATACGTGACGTTCTCGGGACCCGCTAGCGTGAGATAAGCGTTCCGTGTGTAGTATAAGAACCCCAGTTTCCTGCAACAGTAAGTTTAACTTCCTCTATAAAGTGCAAAAGTGTCCTTGTCGGACAAAGCGATATCTACAGGAATCGATCTCATCAGTGTCAGTTTAACGAAAATTTGCCGTCTCGCCCCTACTTGTCATTTAAGCAAGTAGACGAGAACGAGAGTTTTGACACCCTACTGAATCTGCCTTTCCTGGTTGTATTTGTCAACCCGTACTGACAAAAGACGGATATTTGTTGATGGGAATCTGTAATGAAGTGCCAGTATCGATACTACACACATGTCAGACATGATAGCTTCCTACAGACGCTAATTCTCCCAGATTACATCTAAGATAAACGAGACTTTCACTTGTCAAAAACAGGTGCCCGATGAGTGTCCACTTGATATCTTAAACCAGTCAACAGGTGATAATTCCTCCGGCCATTTCAAATATTTACCCGATTGACATGTTTCAAGATGGCGGACCATTGTCGTCTGCGTGTTTACGAACTGAGCGTCGTGTTATCTTACTATGGTATCTGGTCTGTCCGTCGCACTTCATATTCAATCATTTCACTAATTCCTGTTTGGCTATTCCCGGAAATATTATCCCTTGCCTAAGTCTCGCCTTTATTGCAGGTTTGATTCGGTTTGTCATCTTGTCCGAGTAATGGCGGTCATCAGGTGACTGGCCGTAGCTCTAATTATCGGATCAGAGGGTGTGTTGACTCAAGCTCCAATTTCTGCCCTCCCAGATCCAGCAGATAACAATATCAATTCGAGCAGACGACATTACCATGTCTGAGAATTCTAGTCTCGAACTCGAAACTTTAAAAATGCAGAAAATGTGCATTTCAAGTGGAATTAAATTACACGCCAAACAGGTTTATGTTTCTGTGGCAGCCCAGCTTGTCTTTGTTCTTGTTTCAAACGATATCGCAAATTGTAATTATATATTATTCTAAAAATAAATCCATGCTGATAAGACAATGCTATGAGAGTTTCGATGGCGTGTTTGACCAAGGAACAGAGCCCAATGATCATGACTTTGAAAGTGACATTCAATTGTCAATTCCGAACAAAAACATACACTTTCAAAGGTCCTGTTTGAAGTTCCGGCCGCTTGCCAGTGTGTTAGCTTTGATGCTATATGTGTCCACCTCATGTTTGACAAGGTCAAATGGCAGTAAGATGCAAGTGCGGGGTGTGAGCATAAAGCTGTTTCCCGCCACTGGGTAGAAGCAGACGTCACGAGCAGTCATGTCGTTACGTGGTTGGGCAGTGGTGAGCTCCAGGCCTAGGGGATGAGACAGTTACTGGCTGCTGTGTCCTCACACCCGGCCGTGACTCGGACATGGTCAGTGCTCTCTGTCGCGTGCTCGCTTGGCTTTGAGAGACCGTGTGAAGCGGCCAATGCTAACAGGTTATATTTGGGGAGATGCGTTGGTTCAGTAAATGACCCTAATACACTTTAAGAGGCCGTAACCACGCCCTGTAAGTCATCCAGGTGCCAGGACTTCCTTAAATCCCCATAAATTTCATTTTAAGAGTCAAAACCAACTGTGTGTCAAAACATTTGAAAAATCAAATTTCACGGATGTGATGTGTTGAAATAGCATGGCGAATTATGCCGCGTCGGCAGACGTGATTTATGACAAAATAAGCAGGATCTTCCCTGTTCTGTCCATAACGTTTAATGTCGCTTCTGCCTATCGTAGAGTGTTGTAGCAAAATATTTTTCAGTTGCGTGCGTACACCCCATGTCATGCCATGCGCAGTAATGAGACTTCCTCTATTTAATTACACGCTACGTGATAAATTGTTCGTGTTACAATGGTTTGTTCATTTGTTCAGTATGGCGGGCACAAGATTTATCTTCCAAAAGATATATTTGTACGAACGAAGAGTAATTAAAATCCTCAGGGAAATATGTTATGAAGTGACGGCGCTATGCAAATGCGCAGGGAGTGTTGTTGTTGTTGTTGTTGTTGTTGTTGTTGTTGTTTAACGCCGCACTCAGCAATATTTCAGCTTAATGACGGCGGTCTGTAAATAATGGCATCTGGATGAGACAAACCAGTGGCCGATATGAGGAGCAACGTCCCACGACATCTGGGTACGATGCAAGCAATCAAGGAAGTCACCTAATCCATTTCAGTTGCTACTTTCGACACGGATTTGTACTGGGGACCAATTCTATCCCGGAGTCCACACGGGGTATCGACATCAAGCCATTATTATTATTATTATTATTATGATGATGATGATGATGATGATGTACAGATTAAAAATTAAAAAAATACAGAAATGAGGGTTTGGGTTGATCCTGTCATCAGCTCAGGGCCCTTGCCCCATCTACACGCAGCCCAGACAGCGAATGGAAGCGCTGCTTAGTCGAACCCACCCAAAACTGTTGGAGAATGTGAAGACTACCCAACACTGCAGCCTTCTGCATTACCAGGATTGTCAGAAGGGCTGTATTCCTGGTAGCCAACCCGGGTACTCTCCCGATGTGAGTCAACAGATTGGGAGGTACCAAACCTAAGACACCCAGAACAATGGGGAGATGGACAACTTGGTACTTGAGATGCTAGCCTGACATTTGGAGAGCGAGGTCCGCATATTTCATATGTTTTTCCCGAATCTTGTCAATCGCATTAGTGTCCAAAGGGACAGAGAATTCAATGGTGTAAATGATTTCATTGGATTTATCAAAAAGACATGATCAGGCTATAACAGAATTGATGTTTGAACCCTTCGTCTGTATAATCTGCTACACCTCCTTGGATATATTTTGTGTATGTTTTGTGGGGTGTATATAATGATCGAATCTTTATTTTTACTTTTAGTTGCTATTGGAACCATTGATGACGTCACCCATGACGAGGACACTAGTCACATCCGCGTCACAGCATCAAAGGTCGTTTCTCAGAAAGAGGCCATCTTCCAGAAGCCAACAGCTGGATGGTCCCGTCCCTATGAACTGAAGGGCGTGGTTCAAGCCCCACTCAGGTGCGGCATCAGACATGGGGAGGGGCAGTTCTTGTTCACAGGCCGCGTTCGTCTTGGTCAACCAGTGTTACAGTGTGCCCCGCGCTATGAACAGTGGAGGGCGGTGCTTGAGATGGCCCAGGAAAATGGCCAGTTGGAGTGCGCACTAGACCTCTGACTGGACATCTCATTGACCTTTTACTGGACTTCAACTGCACCTCTAAATGGACCTTTAACGGGACCTTAACTGCACCTCTAAATGGACCTTTAGCTGGACTTTAACTGAACCTCTGACTGGAAGTTTTACTGGACTTTCAATTTGACCGCAGATGGGACATTAAGTGAACCTCTAGATCTTTAATTGGACCTCTAAATGGATATTCAACTAAACATCTATCTAGACCTTTAATTGGACCCTCAGAATCTTTAACCGGACCTTCGATGCGAAACACAACTCTTCCGTGCATACGTTCATTTTTTACTAATACAGGTTGATCTCTTTAGCCTGAAAGAGGAATCCATTTATATGTTTTCTGAAATACGGAGGCCTGTGTCATTCGCCCGTGGTTACGTACCTGTGTGAATGGTGCCGTGTTGCAGTGGCACTGGCAGAAACCTGTGTCAGACACATTACTGCAAGGTCCTCTACAATGTCTACAAGCTTGTGAACCAAAGATGAAATGTATATATTTTATATCCGTTTTTAGTTGCATATATTTTGTGTAGTTACACAGAGACGTCTCAACTGAGGATGTGTATGTGACATTGCTGTTAATGTTTCAGATGTTTACAGACTAGTGTGACATTTACTGCATTAGTTTTGTTGTTGAATTATACCTACTATATATACAGAAGGCAGCAGTGTGTGTGTGTGTGTAGTGATAGTGATCTCTGTGATATGCTCGATCATACTGACAATCGTAGGCCGTGCCTACACGATCAGCCAAAACGTACACTTGTGATTCGTAGCTGTAGATCCCATCAGTATGAGAAAACTTCCCTGTCACTCATCTTTATCTGTGACTTCCGGAATTCTGTTCGCGTCCCATGCGTGTAGGCATGGTGTCTATGCCGATCATAACCTATGCGTCTTCTTCCATACAGGAATGATAATTATTACCAGTGAAAAGATTATACAAGGAGCCATGGTGATTTATTGATGCAAAGGAAACACATATCATCAAAATAGCATAAACTTCTTTATGTTTGCTGCGTTCGTTCATTAACCTACTATCATCTTGACATAAATGTGTAATTATATTACATGGCACATTGGTAAGACCTGCCGCACTGTCAGAGTTTGTTTGTTTGTTTAACGCCGCATCCAGCAAAATTCCAGCTATAGGGCGGCGATCTCTAAATAATCGAGTCTGGGCCATACAATCCAGTGATTAATATCATGAGCATCGATCCACGCAATTGGGATCGATGACATGCATCAACCAAGTCAGCGAGCCTGACCACCCGATCCCGTTAGTCGCCTTTTACGGCAAGCATTGGTTGCTGAAGACCTATTCTACCCCGGAGCGTCACGGGTCGCACTGCCAGAGTGAGTACTCTTGTCAGGAGTGGAACCCGTATCTTCGCATGACGAGGAAGCCATCGAGCGTTACCAAAAGACTGGACGACCTAAAGTGACACGTGAACTAAATACGTCACAGTGGAATTCCTTTACTGTACACCACACCAGTGCTAAGGTTACCAGTTAGAACATATGTGTAGAAAAATAGGATGGTATTAAACAATTAGATGATCATATCGGCCTTGTTTGGGGAGTAAGCAGCGCTTGGAATTGTCGTTCGATGGGAACCTTTAACCACTATATTACCCCACCCAGCCCTGATAGCTGAATATGTCATGTTGTGCTCATAGCAATCTTCCTAATTTACGAATCTACAACACGCATCGAGTGATGAACCAGGGATTTTTTGCTTGAGACAGATTGTAAGACATTTCTAGATTATTATAAACCTTTGATACGACATTCTGTTTTACCATTACCAAGGTACTTTGGTCTATATGCTAAATCTATCTGTCGATGGTCTTAAATAATGACCAATTTTAAGAATGTGTTCTTGTGATTATGTAAATACCGTCTTACAAATGTTTAGTTTAGTCTATGTGATCCCCTTTCTGTATGCCTTGTCGGAACTGCCATAGTGAGTTGCGTTACCCGTCGCCAGCCTTCTGCCAGTATGTTCTTACGTCGACATTTGGAATCAGTCATAGAATGAAGCTGTCAAGCTGCCCTTCCATGTATTCGTCTGGAAGTTTTCACAACTCCATTTGTCCATGGTGTCGTGCACCTGTTATTGTTGACATCGTCAGTTGTTTACGCCATGCAAGCGGGTCAGCAGGTGATGTCAATTTGTCGTAGAGACAGTAAGCCAAGATATATATCTGGAGTTATTTCTCTCAACCAGTTCTCACCCATTCCAGTATCCTCCAAATCAGGCACACATGACCAGTAGCTGTTGATGCTATCTGTGTCCTCTGACCCTGGGAACAAAATCTGGGCTAATTTTTATTTAGTTTATAATCATAATTCAACAACTGTATTGTACTGTAAAATATGTTCATTTCAGAGACAAGATGTAAGTCTATCATTGCCTGTCCGGTCAGTGTAGCCTTGAGCGACTACTTAAAGGAAACAAGCTCGTCATCTAAGAAACAAGATTCAATGAATATTTCAGGTTTTGCAAAATAAACTTCGATAGTTGCTACCAGATTGTATTTAATGAAAAGTATACTTCGTATATTTAGCTTTAACGAGTAGCCTCATAATGGGACCAATATACTTACAAAGGGCTGATAAGGTATTATAGCGTTCTTCGGACGTAGTTGTACATATAGTCTTGTATATGATTAGCTCTGACCTGAAATGGCACCTCTACCTGTGATACATGTACATTGACAGCGGTTGTCGGGACCAAAAGGACACCTCTTGTAATCCATATCCATGTAGTTCATCAATATGTACAGAAACTTCAATAAATCGGTATTTCTCTTGCACCAGCGTTCGTTTTCACTCTACCCACTGGACAAGCATATGGCTTTCACACGGGTTATAGTCTGTCTTACAGACCCTGATACAAATATATATCAAATACAGCCTATGCAAGTCTATAATGTTTGGCAAGTCTAGATTACTGCAGTATCAGGAAAATGGAGAGAGTCACTGGGCTCCCTTTTATTGTATTTTTATTAAGATAACTGAACAACTGTTTTTTCTGTACGATATGTTCATTTCAGAGACTAGATGTTAGTCTACACGGGTTAATGTAAAGTATGGAATGGAGTTTGGATTGGAACACTGGAATGGAATGAGACAAATAACATACCCTATTTACAAGCAAGTCTAAAATATAATAAGCTAAGACAGTTTATAAACAGCTTTCACCGATATATGGCAGATAAGGTGATGGACCTGCTGACAGCATCTCTCCTCAGCCATTTCCCACACCAGTGCTGAGGGAGAGGAGACACACCTAGATGAGAAAACAGTTTATTTAACACAGTAATGTAATGACTTGTGGTAATCTAATAAAGCACAACAGAACACCACGCGAAGAACAAAATACATATCCTGGTTTATTTTTATATTCATCACGTTTGTTATCATCAAAAAGGATAGATATAATCCACGTCTATTCATTATCACAAATAGAATTACAAAGTCTCCGCGTCATGGGAGGAATGTTTACCAAATGTCAATTCAGTTTACGTTATTGTATCAAAAATGGACTGTTTTCAGTGCGAGATGAGAGTATTCCATTATTTCTCATTCCAAATCACATTCCAGTATTCCAATCTAAAATCCATTCCATCCTTTACACTAAGCCCTTTCACATACCCATAAAGAAGAAGGCTAAGGCACTGAAGTTTTAAGATGTGTATCTAGCAGATTGTTTGTTTGTTTGTTGTTTAACGCCGCACTCAGCAATACTAGTATTCCAGCTATATGACGGCGGTCTGTAAATAATCTAGTTTGGCCCAGACAATCCAGTGACTGACATCATGAGCATCGATCTACGTAATTGGAATACGATGACATGCATCAACCAAGTCAGCGAGCCTGACCACCCCATCCCGTTAGTCGCCTCTTACGACAAGCATAGTCACCTTTTTACGGCAAGCATGGGTTGCTGAAGGCGTATACTAACCCGGATCTTCACGGGTTCTATCTAGCAGATATTATGTGCAGTACCCGGATGTTGCTTGTCGGACAGGCCTCCCAAGTGGATTCACAGCTTTCGACCCTCGCATTGTATTAAATAATTTTCATCTAAGTATACTTAATAAAGGGGCGGTGGAGTCGCCTAGCAGTTAAATGGTTCGCTCTTCACGCCGAAGACCTGGGTTCGATTGCCCACATTGGTACATCGTATGAAGTACATTTCCGTTGTTCCCCGCCGTGAATATTGCTGCAATATTGCTAAGAGCGGTATAAAATAATACTCATTCGTTTCAGTGTTGTAGCACTGTTGAAAACCCGTCTTCAAAACTGTAACGAGAGGGTACTGGAAGTGAAAAGCATAATAAACTTGATTTAACATAGTTCAACTTCGTGAACAATGCACTATTCAGTGACAAACAAAACTGAACACGTTGTCTATAGAACTATCCTCAATGAACACTGGACACGTCATGTGTATAAATATAACAGGAGATAATTTTGGCAAGAGGCGTCTGTGGTTTTCGTAGTATTTTAAGTGAGATTGGGTTCATAGCTGAGGCGGGTGACGATTTTAGTTTCAGTCTCATCTTTGCAGAGAGGGCATTTCAACAGCAAGTGTTCCTCATCTTCTACTTCGTTAGTCTTACAGAAGGTACGTATTCTTTCTGTTCGAGTATCCTCATCTCTCAATTTGAAAGTCGTGAGCACAGAGTATATGACCAACTTCTATATTAAATTATTAGTCTAGATTTCATGTAGCTTCAGTAAAACCGTCAAGTTATCAAACCACTCACGTATACGCATACTTTTTTAAACAAATATTTCCATCTCTTAAATACTGACATAATATTTGACTGAAGTTCAAACAGTGTGCGAGTGTTTCGGCAAACACTAGTCGTCCATCAACCAATATAGTGGATGAAGGCGGCCATTATATCACCGGGAGTACAACACGACTGGTCAACACTCCAGCAGCAGATGAGACAACAGTTCATACAATGGCCAAGTATCATTTCAAACATCTCCACGTTCAATCTGGACGTGCAAGCGAATTACTTCTAATACCTGGTTTTATATAGATTTGCTCCAAATACATACCGATAAAATAGGGTACACACATAGAATAGTAATAGTCAACCGAGTGCGTTTGGATAATGCAGGGGTTTTGTAAGGATTTATATAGGTTTCTGTGACGGGCGTACGTCAAGCGAGAGCTGCGGCCTTCACTGACGATAGGCACTCTTCTACATATTGTGTTGACCCGTGGTGTTGTTGGATAATGTATGCACCACAAAGAGATAGGTGTAAGTGGAATTTAAAATATATTTCTAAAGCATCTGGGTCACTTTCCCACGGGATTGCGCTGTAGATATACGCTCTACTATTTGTAGAAATTGGTAGTAAATTGTCAATTGTATACAGTCTGTATCAGAAACTGCCAGCACACCCCGCGGTGATGCCGACGACGCCCTGGTGCTTGTCGTGTCTTTTATAGCAGCAGTATTTGTGATATCGCAGCCATTAAAGTGTTTTGTGGAACTGGCCTTAGTTGTGCTCTCCACGTTGGACGGGTGGACATTCTGTGTTCAACAACCGGCTCTAGCTATACATGGGAAACACAGCAGTTGGCATATTTCTACCGATGCATAGCTATGAAAACTGCAGTGTTTGACAAAGGTGTCACACAGGGTCCTAAAGTGCAAGCCCTGTCCTAGCCCATGGCACTAGAGGGCATACCTTAGTAATGTTTTCAGGCTATATCTAAGGTTAAACAATAAGTCATGCAGCTCCCAGGACGATCTAAACATACATCACCCAATTTAAATCATATCCCATTTTGAATTAGGCACCGACCATTTGATATTCTGTCGGGAGCCAGGGATTTTGTATCCAGATTAGAGTGAGTGAGTATGGTTTTACGCTGCTTTTAGCAATATTCCAGCAATATCACGGCGGGGGACACGCTTCAAATATTGTACCCATGTCGGGAATCGAACCCGGGTCTTCTGCGTGACGAGCGAACACTTTAACCACTAGGCTACCCGACCCCCCTATCCAGATTAGATATTTTTCTGCTTCAGCTACAAAACCAGATATATATTTTATTTAAAACTATAAGCCTATAAAACACCTTGCAACAATGTAATGTACTGAGACCTACTCTGCCCTGGAATAGATGAAGGGCAAAAACTGGGCCAAAGACCCATCCTCCAGAAACCTGCTCACTACCACTGTCTTCTCTCACCATGGACAGAAACATCAACTTTTAAAACATCTTTATTTCACAATAAAAGCTTACAACATTTACATAAAGAATTGCTGTACATAAAACACTGCCTAAAATAAATAAAAGATAAAAGACAAGGTGTACATCCTCATAGATACTTTTCAACATATTTTAATATATATATATATATATATCATATATATATATATATATATATATATATATATATATATATATATATATATATATATATATATATATATATATGTCATTGTTTTCAACAGGAGGATGAGCTCCTACATGGACCTGGAGCTCTCCTGCTAGATTACCACGCTACTATACTGACCATTCTCTGATGGACCTGGGGCTCTCCTGCTAGATTACCATGCTACTATACTGACCATTCTCTTGGTCCTTCAGGTACTTGGAGACTTGACTGATTGTCCATCTGATCATTGAAATCCACTACTTCTATCTTACTTCAGAGAGTTCTCTGTATTGGACATGGGTTCAGTATTGGTTCCCAGTATTTGGTTCCAGAGCACATGGTACAATATGTACCTGAGGTATCAACCAGGGCTTATCAATATCAAGTCAAAAAACAACATATCAATAAATACAAAATAATGTACAATAGAACCCCAGTAAAATGTAGATATTTTTAAAATTTAAATACTTATCCTGCATTACAACGTCTATTCACAAAACATTATGTAACAAAATGCTGTATATTTCTATACAATATTGCACATGCGAGACATATAACATTGGTCCAGATATATAGACATGTGAGATTATTCCAACTATATCTCCGCTGGAGATGGATGTCTTTATGTTCCAGCAAATATGACAGCTGTATCCTGGCAACCTGCTGAGTGTGTAAACCAGGAAAACCAATGGTCGATGTTGTGAGCATTGATCAGTGTTGTCAGGATGCAGTGGTCATCCAAGTACTTTTCATACTGGGCAAACACCAGCGGACAATTTCGTACCTAACAAAAATCATGTCTGTGATCAGCTTGCAACATGACAATTACTTGGAGTAAAGCGTATTCCAACTGCATTTATTAATGAATCCAACTACCTGTTTCCCAAATCAACATGAGCATATGCAACAAGGCCTGAATGTACATGTTGGATTTAACATTGGGAGTAGCGTCCCAATTGGTACAGAAGTATCTTAGAGATAGACTGTCTCTTTGAATTACATCAACAATAATATGTTTGCAAACAGGAACCCTTTCACTATGTTCTATATATATTTCATAAGAAAAGAAAATGTTACATACTCAATTATCAGTCACATTCAGCTTGAATTTAAAATATAAAAACATTTGTAACATTGTTGCAAAATCTGACTCAAAATAGCTACACACCAAGTATTGCTTTTCCAATGACAACAGCGACCTCACATCATGACTATAGCTTACTTCTATACTTCAAATAGAATGACATTGCACTGAATAATGCTATATAAGTGAACTGAACCAATGACCTAAGTATCTGAACTGTCACCATGGTAACAATCTGAACTCTAGTTCACTGCCAGCTTCCAAAGCTGCTTAATGCTTCTACTAATCATCAGATAAAACAATATTTATGCAAATTAAGTTCAACCCAGGAATAAATAAAAAAACATATCTGTAAACAGTGTATAATTCAAAATAATAAAATGTTGGCACAATCTCACAAAAGCATAATATCCATAGTAGGATGAAACAGAATAGCACAAAAACATGCTTCAACTCTCCATCTTGTAATAAAGTGTCCACTTTACCAAGGTGTTGCATTATGCAGGATCATTATTCACTACATGGACAAACCAGGAGGTATAAATGAAAAGGAAAGAAAACTACATAACTTCTTATAAAAACTATAGAAAACGATATTATATAAAAATGTGATAATAAATAAAAAGGATAAAAAAGATATAATATTTAAGATGGTTTAGAAAACAAGTAACTGCATGACTGCAAGCAGTCGCATAGAGTTGCTTCTTTTTTTCACAATTTGGCTGGACCATGAAGTAAGGTCTTCGATGAGGAAAAAAGTGATCTCAGACAGAGGTCTACTAATATTTGGTTTACAAAGATCTTTGACACAAGCCGACTAAGATCTTTCACACAATTCAAAAAGACCTCTAACACTAGCCAACAAAGGCCTTGGATGTGTTACTGTGTCTACCAAAATGTTAAAAACAAGTCTGTACAAATTTCACTGATGTCAACAGAAAGTCTTAACACTGGCGAGATTCTGAATTCTTGTCACAAAACAAAAACCTACAAGTCACAAGTCATCAAACAAAACATAGTGTGACAACATTGATTACAAACATATTTGCACTGGACACAGGACAAAGTTTCCCGATGAATAGATGACCAGCACCTCAGTGGGACCCACACATAGTAAGACATGCTGGTGCTCTGAGCGACAACACTACACACAACACAAAAGGAGATACACATAGTAGCAAAGCTTAGTTAGCCCACCAGTCACTACTGTACAGTGCTGTGTCCCATACTGTACAACACTGTACCTGATACTATACATACTGTATCACCTGGATATAGTTCACACCTGCAGGCATACACATACCAGTCCAACAGCTTCTGTACAATACAGATACCTCAAGGAGATTCCCTGCTCCGGACTCATCATGACTTTGCTTTGCTGTTATGAGTTCGACATTATGACCTATTGTGACACTGACACTGTTGACACGTAGTGAGCAGCCAAGGCAGGATCTGATGGCGTCATCAGGGAAGGTGTACTATGTGTTTCTATTGATAAGAAAGCTTGAGTGTGTTTTCTTTAACACAGGAGTCTTTGGATACTGTCAGACAAGCATACAGCATACATGGGCTGTATATATCCATCTACATTTTTTCTTCATCATCTTCCCAATTTGAAGTATTCTGCATAGACCTTCAAATCAGAAGTGTCCTGCATCATCCTCCCAATCTGAAGTGTTCTGCATTGTCCTCGCAATCTCAAGCATTCTGCATTGTCCTTCCAATCTGAAGTGTTCTGCATCGGCCTCCCAATCTGAAGTGTTCTGCATTGACCTTCTAATCTAAAGTGTTCTGCATTGTCCTACCAATCTGAAGTGTTCTGCAACATCCTCACAATCAGAAGAGTTCTGCATCATCCTCACAATCAGAAGAGTTCTGCATCATCCTCACAATCAGAAGTGTTCTGCATCGACCTTCCAATCTGAAGTGTTCTGTGTCCTCCTTCCAATCTGAAGTGTTCTGCATCGTCCTCCCAATCTGAAGTGTTCTGCATCGACCTTCTAATCTGAAGTGTTCTGCATTGTCCTCCCAATCTGAAGTGTTCTGCATTGACCTTCTAATCTGAAGTGTTCTGCATTGTCCTCCCAATCTGAAATGTTCTGCATCGACCTTCTAGTCTGAAGTGTTCTGCATTGTCCTCCCAATCTGAAGTGTTCTGCATTGACCTTCCAATCTGAAGTGTTCTGTGTCCTCCTTCCAATCTGAATTGTTCTGCATCGACCTTCTAATCTGAAGTGTTCTGCATTGTCCTCCCAATCTGAAGTGTTCTGCATCGACCTTCTAGTCTGAAGTGTTCTGCATTGTCCTCCCAATCTGAAGTGTTCTGCATCGACCTTCTAGTCTGAAGTGTTCTGCATTGTCCTCCCAATCTGAAATGTTCTGCATCGACCTTCTAGTCTGAAGTGTTCTGTATCATCCTCCCAATCTGAAGTGTTCTGCATCTACCTTCTAATCTGAAGTGTTCTGCATCAACCTTCTAATCTGAAGTGTTCTGCATCAACCTTCCAAATCTAAAGTGTTCTGCAGTGACCTTCTAATCTTAAGTGTTCTGCATTGTCCTCCCAATCTGAAGTGTTCTGCATCGGCCTTCCAATCTGAAGTGTTCTGCATCAACCTTCTAATCTGAAGTGTTCTGCATCCTCCTCTCAATTTGAAGTGTTCTTCATCGTCCCCTTAATCTGAAGTGTACCGCCTTGGTGCTCAAAGTACACTAAAAAATTGGCCATGAACTGAAATTCACAAGATTCACAAGAGTGTAGCCAGCACCCTTGCATTATACGCATATGTACTTACATCACTACACCTACTACTCCTAACCCAGAACACCTCTACTGGACCTACAGACCTACTCCACCTCAACCATACAGTTCCTTCAGGTATCTGACAGTAGCAGTCTCCCTGTCACTCCCTGATGACACCTGCTGCTCAACCATTCCTTCTCATCTTCCATGTGTCACAATCCTTCCTTGTGACACATACTTCTCTGTACCATCCCTTCCCATCCTCCCAGCCGCCTCTAGCTGATGGCCATCACGGCGGCCTGGCTGTGGTGTGTGATGACGATGTCTGCAGGGAGCTGTTCCCATGGTTCTCCGTCTACCTGCATCGGGGCCTTCCCACCATGCAGGCTGATCTGAAACACCACAACTCAAAGCTCACTAAAATAGTACTGACAAGTACGTATCTGTATGTTGAAAATCTTGTAAACTAAGTAAAGTTGTCGATGTTCAATTTACCCAAATTTTGCTAACCTTCACTTTCCTTGCTTGTCCGAGTCTAAACGGCGCTGCCAGCCCGACCTGGAGCTGTGCTATGTGGAAGGAAGAGTACAGTGCCATCACTTCCAGCAAGCCATCGTCATAGCTACAAGACAAAGAAACATCATATAGAGATCCTTTATGTCCAATAGCAACTGCGCAAATATTTGGCATATTTTTGTATGGATAATGAAACATCCAATTGTATGAGTAGATGGACATTGTTTTACTCAGATATATTATGGCCATAACCCAGCAACCTGTGGTTATTGCTTCACTCTCCTACCCAGAGATCCATGCGGCCAGCATAGTACCTCTTCCACAGCCCAGCACCTGAGACAATTTGTCACATCTTACACAGTCAATTCAAGATATTGCATATGTTTTTCATCTGTTTCATGAAGTCTACACCTCTCGATAAACATGTCATAGAATAGTTAAATTTCATTGTGAAAATATCCTAAAACATGAATTTTTAGTCGATTTGCGTAGTTATCCTTTGTTTACATTGGTTTACGGATCCATGTGTTGTCTTGGAGCCCTCCTGAGAGCTAGCAATATGGTCACTTTGATGTATAAATATATATTGTCATGCACCTCACTGTCCCAAATGTTGTTGCATATCAATATAATAATGCAAAAACACACCCCAAAATACTTGAATAAGACTAACCTGTTCTGATTTCAGAATATGCATGGTCACCTTTTTCCCGCCTTTTGCACAGAAGAGCTGAGGAGCTACATGTGCTATTAGGGGAACAACTAATTGTGTGTAGTTGACAGTGAAAAGGACTTCTGGTGAAAATCTGAAGATTTAGTTATAATGTGTCTGCAGCCAAAATATAGGATTAATGGCCATGATGTAATAGAGGTAGAGGATTCGCAGAAATTATATCACTCGACCAGTTAACCAAGTACTTCATGTGATAGCATCCATCAATGCATTTAGGTAAACTGAGTCCCAACAGTAGCTCCCTAGCGCCCTGTGCTTGAGGGCAGTGCTTTCAGTCCCAGCAGTGGTACAAGTACTTGGATGGGTGACCACCTGGACACTTGAACACAGGGTTAGTGGTGATACATTGTATCTCATCATAGAGAGGATCACTGTTCACAGGACTAGTTGTTGTTGTGTAAGACAAGACTCACATATTAGTAACACAGGTGCAGATAATTCAACATCTAATTACACCAACACCTCATCTGGGACATAATCCATATACTTCACACATAACTTTGTCTAATGCTGTCAATACTTTAACACCAACAGACCATAAATACCAATCAAATTTTCATTTCTCAATTCAATGATTCATGTGAGTGAATGAATATCGTTTTGCACCTAAGTCATCAATATTCATCAAGCAGAACAAAGTAATATTTGAAATCTATCTGCAATGATTCTAAATGTTTCTAGTCAATGTTTGCAGTTGTTGTTAGTGGGAAGGTCTGTTCTTGACTGTGACCCGACCGTGGACTGACGCTCACCTGATACTTCGCACTAATCTGCAGGTAAAGATACCCGGTCGGCAGTGCAGTCATCAATCCCATCACTTTCTTTGTCGCCCACAACAAACTGTATGCCCAAACTAACACAAGACTGCTTTGAAGATCCTCATGATTTGAACACAAACTTGATCCTTTGTATAGCTGAATGGCTTTATTTAAATTGCTACGGCCATCTAACGACCAGTGACTGACCCATCGGCAAATTGCAACGGTCAGCCAGGCATTGGTGTTGGATTGTGGTCAGTTTGGCTTTTGTCCTAAACATCCAGCTGAGGTGATAATGGAGAATAAATGACCTGTGGTCAAGCTAGTTGCTGTGGATATTTGCAGCAAGACTGGTGACCCTCCAACACCTGTAGCTGACCAGTACTGATCATGGGCTAAGACCCTGGCCTTTCACCTACCCCCACCCCAGGGCTCATGGTTGTTTATATGTTCTGTATCCCCTGACGGTGGGTAATGACAAGGCAGGGACACTGTCTGCCCATCGCCCATCAGCTCCGGTAGCCGTCTCTCACACATCATTCTCCAAATTACACATGTCACATCAAAGACAGCAACCTGTACACGCTGTTTACAAAACAAGCAAACAGGATCCCGCCCAATCATATTGCAACAATAAGCAATTAGTATCGGCACAGGTCCCAGAACACCTATCTGCTTGTGTGTAGCAGTGTATTGGCAAGACAAGGGTATCAGACACATTGTATAACATCTTCCCTTGCTTCATCTCTCATCCCCTGTCTAGTACATCCCTGGCTATGGAGGTAAATACACACGGTACACACAAGGTCAACATATGACACAGGCAGATTGAGGGGGCTTTTCATAAGCTCAAAGAAGCTTGAATATGAAGACAATGCATTTCTCGGGTGACTCCATCCCATTCAACATATGTCACAGTTTTGTGTATACTGGAATAATACAGTCAAGTCCCATTAATCTGACATGGTTGGATGCATATGATTATGTCGGATTAACGAGTATGTCAGATAAACAAAATTAAATATCCGGGTAGTATCAACGTTCGTGACCGAAAATCGGACAACTACATGATAGATAACGATTCAAACATGTTGTAATAAAAAATGAAATGTTCATATTGAATGTTTGTAAGTGGAACATGTTTTCTAATCATGCAACCTCTACTGTTAAGCTTAACACAAAACTTCTGTTACGAGCTGTATAACTGATTCAAAATACAGTATTCGACGTAATAAGCGCCCAGCTCTAAAAAGCGCCCACAGCGGTATTTGCTAATATATTGGCTAGTGAACAATCCCAATTAGCACCCCTTCCGATTGATCAATGTTCACAAGACTTATTTATTCGTGTACAATACGCACTCGTGTGTTATATGCACCCTTAATTATGGGCAATTAAATTCTAGAAAAATATATCAGTCGTACATAAACATTTCAGGCTGTCAGCATAAACCACAAATTTTACCTTTCAACTCTGTTTTTTTTCACCAAAGTAATATTCTAATAAGAGCCCACTTTTTCTAATTTTGAGAGCGCCCTGGGCGCTTATTACGTCGAATACGGTACTTTAAAAAGCATAGTCTGGACAGTCTCTGCAGCTACTAGCTGACTCGTCTCGCATCAAAACATGGGGCTGTGTACTCGTGGGCATATTACCACGGAGTACACTGATCACTGTGTCGGATAACGATACTGATTAATGAGTGATTTCAGTAATTCATTTCAAATGAGGTGTGTCAGAGTTGGACTGCGAGAATGTTGGATTAACAGGTCTTAATACCACAGATTTAATCGGTTCTCATCATTAGTGTCGAATAAAGGCGATTGTTGGATTAACGAGTGTTGGATTAATGAGACTTGACTGTATACAGGATTTTTCAAATTTAACAGTTACTTTTTACTAATTATAGGCAATAGACTCAACCTGTCTAGTCAGACATCATATACCGGTATAAGGTCTCTTATTAAGTATTGGTCAAATAATGCCATTGCAGTGCTGGACACAACACAATATGGCATTTAATCATGAAATATATATGACATGACTCATTTAAAAATATTAACTTTGTAAACAATATCTCCCCAATATTGTTTGCTTGAACTATCAAGATAGGGCACTTAAGTCAGTGGGTAAGAACATGTAAGTGTGACATATCAACAGAGGGCACTTAAGTCAGTGGTTAGGTACACGTAAGTGTGACACATCAACAGAGGGCACTTAAGTCAGTGGGTAAGAACATGTAAGTGTGACACATCAACAGAGGGCACTTTAGTCAGTGGTTAAGAACATGTAAGTGTGACATATCAACAGAGGGCACTTTAGTCAGTGGTTAAGAACATGTAAGTGTGACACATCAACAGAGGTCACTTAAGTCAGTGGGTAAGAACATGTAAGTGTGACACATCAACAGAGGTCACTTAAGTCAGTGGTTAAGTACATGTACGTATGACATATCAACAGAGGGCACTTAAGTCAGTGGGTAAGAACATGTAAGTGTGACATATCAACAGAGGGCACTTAAGATAGTGGTTAAGTACATGTAAGTGTGACAAATCAACAGAGGGCACTTAAGTCAGTGGTTAAGAACATGTAAGTGTGACATATCAACAGAGGGCACTTAAGATAGTGGTTAAGTACATGTAAGTGTGACATATCAACAGAGGGCACTTAAGTCAGTGGTTAAGAACATGTAAGTGTGACATATCAACAGAGGGCACTTAAGTCAGTGGTTAGGTACATGTAAGTGTGACATATCAACAGAGGGCACTTAAGTCAGTGGTTAAGTACATGTAAGTGTGACATATCAACAGAGGGCACTTAAGTCAGTGGTTAAGTACATGTAAGTGTGACATATCAACAGAGGGCACTTAAGATAGTGGTTAAGTACATGTAAGTGTGACATATCAACAGAGGGCACTTAAGTCAGTGGTTAAGTACATGTAAGTGTGACATATCAACAGAGGGCACTTAAGTCAGTGGGTAAGAACATGTAAGTGTGACAAATCAACAGAGGGCACTTAAGTCAGTGGTTAAGAACATGTAAGTGTGACATATCAACAGAGGGCACTTAAGTCCGTGGGTAAGAACATGTAAGTGTGACATATCAACAGAGGGCACTTAAGTCCGTGGGTAAGAACATGTAAGTGTGACATATCAACAGAGGACACTTAAGTCAGTTGTTAAGTACATGTAAGTGTGACATATCAACAGAGGGCACTTACATAATTTGTCAGTGGTTAAGTACATGTAAGTGTGACATATCAACAGAGGGCACTTAAGTCAGTGGGTAAGAACATGTAAGTGTGACATATCAACAGAGGGCACTTAAGATAGTGGTTAAGAACATGTAAGTGTGACATATCAACAGAGGGCACTTAAGTCAGTGGTTAAGTACATGTAAGTGTGACATATCAACAGAGGGCACTTAAGTCAGTGGTTAAGAACATGTAAGTATGACATATCAACAGAGGGCACTTAAGTCCGTGGGTAAGAACATGTAAATGTGACATATCAACAGAGGGCACTTAAGTCAGTGGTTAAGTACATGTAAGTGTGACATATCAACAGAGGGCACTTAAGTCAGTGGTTAAGAACATGTAAGTATTATCAACAGAG